TATGTTTTAATTTGTGCATATAAGTTGTACGTCCCTATATGACTTGCTACAAATATTGTTGTATAATGTAGTCTAATAAATGATTTGATTTGATTTGAATGTTTTGTAAGCTTTTATGATTATTTAATATACTGCATTTCCCGTTCTGACAAAAATTCTAAGCATAATATCATCCTTTTTTTTTAAATAAAACGTAATAACTTCCAAACGATTGAAGATTTGAACAATTGTATTGACATTACTTGCTCGCAAAAATATAACCTTTCAAATAGACAACAGAAAAAAAGGCTGCTTCTGAGAAAAAAATTGCCGTTTTGAAAAATATTTCATTTTAATAAAAAATAATAGCATAGGTAAGTATGTAATCCGCGCATTTTGAATGTTTTGCTCAACCGTTTCTGAGAAAAAGGCCTGGAGCGTCGAGTTCGGCACACTCTGCATATGAATCATTTAAAACAGGACTCTCAGATTTTAATCGTAATCGAGATATCAGTTTAATGAAAGGTATTAGTGATACTGATCGCCAACTTTAAAGGCACACAACTTGAATGAATACACATTTCGATTGGCCAACAAGAGCTCTTGTGCACAAATAACTAGCCAAAATAAGTATGCAAAACCAGTGTTTGAGGGGAACGGGGACTATTTTACTGTGTTTACCGACAGGCCTACAGATTAATAGTGTTTTAAAATTTGGCTTGTAGAAAACTTTGTCCGCGCCACTGGTGGATGCAAATGAGAGCACCCCAAAAGTGATATTTAAAATTTAAAGAAACACTTCCTCTGCTTTTCTGCGAGTAGTGAGTCAATTCTCTAAATGGAATAGCAAGAGATACACGTGTAAAAGATTGAATAGGTAATCCGCTAAGAGAAAATAAGACAGACAGTGATGTATGTAGTTAAAAGAAGGACCAGATCAAGAAAAATGTTTGCAGGAAACATACAGCAATGGTTCTAATGGAAATTGAGAAACGCTATCGGCTCGTGCTGCCGGAAACGCATTTGAGATAAACGATAATTATGTTAAATTGTATTAAATAGTTCACATGGCGTGAGTAATAAGTTACACTTCATCATTACGAGGCAGCTACAAATTACCGCAAAATTGGACCTCTTCATTATTTACGTGACGAGAAAAAAAGCGGAACATAATTAGGAACATAAAATTTAAGAACAAGAATATTTATGTTGTTAATAATAGCACTGGCCGTACAGACACAAAATGCACGCCTCCTCTTTAATACCCAATTAAGCTGAAGTAAAAGCAAGATTATATGAAATGAAAAACCCTTACAAAATTTGACCGCAAGCATTTCAAGATGAATTCATTGTGCACATTTAGCTGGGTCCACATTTGCTACCCCAACTCGTAAACTTTTAAATACAAATAAACGGCTTGTACCAAAATTTTACAAAAACACTTTTTTTCTTCTGAATGCCATGGGCAATTTAGTAGTTTAAGATTAAGATTAAGATTATAAGGGAGGAGCTGGCTGGTTGGCCTTGACCACCGCGCCCCCCTGTGGGTCTATTGTGGAGCTCCTATTCATTTCCTTAGAGCTCCTTATCCAGCTTTGTCCTTTGTATCAGACTCCACAGACTTGATAAGGGGCTCTTAGTGTAGCTGTCAGCTCTTGGTTTTTGTTCCCCAAGTAGTTGGAACCTAAGTCTAGCGAGGCCTTCACAGTGGCACAACACATGAACTGAGAATTCCTCTTCCTCTTGGCAGAATCTGCATGTTGCATCCTGTACCAGACCAATCAGACTCATATGTCTATTGAGCCGACAGTGTCCTGTTAAAAGACCCACTATGATCCTAATGGCCTTTCTATTTTGGCATAGTAGATCTTTCGTAAATTTAGCCGATCTTTCTTTAATGAACTCTTTGGCCTGTCTCTGTTGCGGGAAGCCCCTCCACCATTCCAGAGATTTATTTTGCATTCATTCCTCAATGGATGTTTTATGCCTGGCTTGGCCATGCCACAGAAGGGTTCAGGTCCTACTAAAGCTGTGGATGAGCCTTCTTTGGCCAGGTCATCCGCCTTTTCGTTACTCTTATGTCCCTCGTGTTCTGGCACCCACATCATGGTCAGTTTATTTTGACTTCCTAGGTCTTTTAGGGCATTCAGACAGTCCCACACAAGCTTTGAGTCAACCTGCATGGAACCTATTGCTTTTAGTGCCGCTTGGCTATCAGAGAAAATGGCTATCGACTGATTGACAGTCCCTTGCCTTATTATTTCCTTTGCACACCACTGTATCGCGGCTACTTCAGCCTGAAATACTGTGGCGTATTTTCCTAGACTTTCCGTTTTTGGCCTTATCCCGTAAATCCCAGCTCCCACTCCTTGTTCTGTCTTGGAACCATCCGTATACCAGATTTTTTGCGCTGTTATTGGGGGACCGCTTTTCCAGTCTTCCCTGTCTGGTATTATAATTTGAAAGTTTTTATTGAAGTTATACTTCGGGACTAAGCTATCCGTACGCATTGCTAGTATAGGATGCGCTTTTAACTCTAAGTATAACCTCTGGTGCTCTGTACCGTGCTTCTGCCTTATGAGCGTTGAGCCTTGCATTAGCCTGTGTACCACTGAACGAGCTTCTCCTTGGATAAATATATGTAGTGGTGACAGGTCTAGCAGGACCTCTAATGCGGCTGTAGGAGCGGTTCATATGGCCCCCGTGGCGCACAGGCAAGCAAGCCTTTGTACGCCACTTAACAGCATTATAGCTCCCAACTGCAGTGTCTTAGTCCACCATACTACTGATCCGTAGGTTATTATGGGTCTCACTACCCTGGTGTATAACCATAGGATCACTTTTGAATTCAATCCCCAGTGGCTTTTTGTGTGATTTTTTGGATGTGGGCATTCCATGTCAGTTTTTGGTCGAAGATGACTCCTAGGTATTTCACCTCACTGGCAAATGGAATTTCCACTCCATTGAGCGCTAGGGATTTTAGGCCTTCCAGGGCTCTTTTTCATGTAAAGTTGACGATTGTGGTTTTGTGAGGATTTATAGACAGTTCTTCCTCACTGCACCACCTGTCGACAATATTTAGGGCATTTTGGGAGCGCTCTAATATCGTGCTCGTAAATCGTCCCTTGACTACTATTACTAGATCGTCGGCATACCCTAGGCAATAAAAGCCTTCCGCGGACATTTTCCGAAGGAGTTCATCAACAATTTAGCAGTTTACAATTTCTTTTCAAAAATATCCAGAGGCGTACTACTTATTTCTATAAAATGGGTATGTAACTCTCGTATCTACGCCTATGGCTTTCCGTTACTATGTCTGTACTATGTTGAATTGTAAATGCAGCTTTACATAGAAAGGCGATGTTAGATATTAAATTATAAACTTTTCTTAATGAAACTTCAACAACCTGTATCCAAGTTATGGTGCATTTTTCGTTATTATATTCACAGAAGAAACTTTTACGTACTCTACACATTCCTGAAGTTTGTGTGTCAGAAACTGAACCAACCTATATAAATTACATCACACCCAGCAGTAGTTGCTTTCAGATTTTTAAATATGTAGCTCTTTATTGAATTTATTAAATTTCTTCAGACCGTTTTCATTTAAATTGCCTTACGGTAAGGAATGCTTTTAAAACTTTAATTATAAATTGTAGTAAATGTATTTAAAATTTGTTGGCATTTTTAATGAATAAGCGTTGTGGCAAAAATAGAACTCTAAAAATATCTGTACAAATCCGTATTATTGCCTCTCAATGAAAAGAAAAATAACTAGGTATGTGCTTTGTATGTAAAACTTATTTCATGGTAAGTAGGGTCCTGTATAAATTAGTGTCACTCAATGAATGAAAATATTTGGGGTGAATAACCGCGGTCCTCACAACAGGGGGGAGGTAAATAGGATAGTTAATAGCTTTCTGCTAAGACACATTTAAAATTATAATTTGGACCTGGACCTGGGATTTTTTGTACATCTGTTGAATTTCTCTCACTAAGAATAAGATGACATTAAATTTCGACTGCTTGATTTATTGTTCCTCAAATTTCTGTTTACAAATTTTTTGAGGGTTTTCTAATTTAAAATTACAAATAATTCGGATACATCATTTCTCTAAAATTAAATGCGGTGAACTAGATCTCAGTGACACCCCGCCAAATTAATATCAAGTATGTATAGGTATATTATTGTGGACATGACAAGTACCCCATGTTAAAATATGAATATCAATACTTTTTACGCATAACATTTCGTAGCTCCAAACTTGCTATTACAAGAAATTTTTAAGTAAAATATGTATAATTTATTTTACATTCACATATTTATGTAAAACATGATTTATACCGAAAAATGCCTACAGATAACGACACCACTCTTATCTAAAATCAATATTATTTTAGATATGGTGCATATTTTATGTAAATTGAAGAATGAGTTATTGATACGGGTCATTTTGTTAAATTCAGATATCTTATCTCTGAGATGGTAGGTATTTCTGTTTGATCAAAAATATTGATTTGTATTCGATATACATATGTATTATACGTTGGTGATAATCGATGTTGACTCAAATTGGTTTCTTAAGTACTTCTATGTATCTAGAGGGCAGGCAGACTATACAGGGTATTTGCAATTCGAAACGGTTCTCAGATCGGCCGGATAGACCGAATATCCGTGGCATCTTTACAGTGTTTCTAAGTTATTTGGAAAAAAAACTAAAACTGTTTGTCCACTTTGATATAATCTAGCGGCTAAACGATACAACTTTGAATACAGGTTAGTTTAGTTAAATCGACTTATTTTGACCACAAAAACCTATGGTAGCTCCATGTACACGGACTATTGGGATACCCTGTATTTGTGGTATTTTAAAAACTAAGACCAGCGTACCTCAGATAAATTACTTAATTCTTCTTTTTAAATTAAACACCACCGGTAATACAACTTCCTGCATCCCTGAAGGTACCTCAGGTATCTTGTACGAGTATGTAAGCAATAATTTCTGATTTAGAAAAAATCCTAGCTCCTCGACCGGGAATCGAACACGGGACTCCAGGATGAGAGGCAAGTATCCTTACCGCTCGATCACGAAGCCACTCCACATTACGGCAATATGTTTTACAATACAATTTGCTCAATAAATTTTGTAATATGTATTTTATAAGTTCTAAAAATTGTTCATTATATTATGTAGTTATGTATGTTCAAACTGAATGTATGATGTCGCAGATAATTTATTGTGGGGAAAAATCTTCAGTTTTATAACAAAGTTGTATGTATATGAACTGTGTTGGGCACATGATATCAGATATTAGACATTAATTTTGTTTTTTTGATTTCGGTAATATTTTATTTATTAAATTAAGCCGTTTTTAAAGTTTACCAGATTGGTGGTTAAATTGTTTTTAGCATGTTTTAATTTTAACTTCATAATTACTTATATTCCTCTTTGTATTTTGTATTCAGAACAAAATTTATAAGACTCATTAATTTTATTTCCCTTGCTAATTGGATTCTGTTAATGCTGAGTTATCTTCCTGCGAGGAATTGCCGCACAGATATGAAAAATAATTACGCGATTCCTTCATATTATGTTCACTCAATATCATACCAGTGGAAAATGTTATCGCCTGGTATTTAAATGAAAATATTGCGCTGAAACAGGAATTACGTTACAGTGGTTTGCAACTATTATCATAAGAATAAACATATGAATCAAATATTTTAACGATGAAATAAACTGTTCCAAGAACGTTAAGGAAAATGCGAGAAAATGCATTTTCCATTGGGAACCATAGTACATATTATCAACATGTAAATTTCCATTAATTGTTCATGAAATTGAACTCAAATAATTCCAATTATCAATTTTATTCATAAGAAAATAACCAAAATAAAAAAAGCAAATTTCATTTGAAGTTGCAAATCAGTTATTCAATACATATGTCCCCCATTTGCATCAATAACAGCTTGACATCATCTACGCATACTGTGCTGACATTATTGATATAATCTTGAGGCTCAAATGCCTGGAACGGTCGCTCTCAAATCTCACGTATGGTTCTTTTGAACATATTCCACGTGTTCAATGGTATTGAGGTTTGGTGATTTCGATGGGAGTGGAAGTGCCAGAATTACAAGCTTTGCACTGCATTAGTAACGATTGTTGCTGATGAAGATGGGCATTGTCACCCAAGAAAAAAATGTCTTAACTATGGTACCATGAAATTGAAGAATAATATGTCAAGATACACTTAAACTGTCAACGTTGAATAAAACAGCGCCATTCGTTTATGACGTATGGTCAAAAAACTGTTCTCAAATATTTTCTAGAAACTATAGGTACCTAGACCTCTCAAATGTTTTCGAATCATTTATATCTTATACAATATGGTCTATGGTAATTCAAGATGACAGGGATGATATTTATTTATACTTTCTCTGCCTGTTGCTAATGTAAGAATTATCTTGAACTTGAAGCAACATTTCCAGTTCCTTGTAATCGACAGTTATATTTCTATTACTTAATTACTTTATGTTTTGGATAATCAACATGTCCTGCAGCATCAAATGTTTCCATTAATTTTTGAAACATTTAATTTGATATACATCCCTCACGGAATTTCGTAATATGATAGATTCGAGAAGTTAATAAACAGTTTTTTGAGACTTGCGTAAGACGTACAATTAATTCTTCATAAAATTCATTCATAGAATACGTAGAAAACCAACAATTAAATTAGATGAATAAACAAGGAAATAGCAAAAATCGATTTCATAAATTAGTTAACGTTAAAATCTGACGTTTAACATAAGACTGCTTTCATCGACTGTTAGATTTATTCGCCAATAGAGTAACCATCCGAAATATGATCGTAGAGTGACGGCTGGTGGATTTAGGTTATACAAAATCTCAATATTGGAGCAAGGAACCCAAGCAATATATTAAGGCACGACTAAGAGTACTGATTGAAGAAGTTTTGGAGATAAAAAACTGAAAAAAAATTTGAGAAAAAATAAAGTTACAAAAATGCGCAGCCTCCTCAGATTTCTTCTAGACCATTAGTGAAATTTTAGCAAACTATTTTTTTTTTTTGTAATCAGAAGCAAAATTTATCACCGTTTTTTTTTTGGTTTTTGAAAATTTTAATTTTTTGTAAAGTTATGACACTTTGAAATTTAAGTTCTGCATTGTGTAAATTTAAAAATGTCATAACTTTATAAAAAATCAAAATTTTCGAAAACCAAAAAAACAAGGCTGAAAATTTTCCTTCTGATTACGAAAAAAAAAATAGTTTGCAAAGATCTTACTATTGGTCTAGAAGGAATCTGTGGAGGTTAGTTTTTTTCTGCAAAACTTCTTCAATCAGTACTGATAGTCGTGCCTTCAAATATTGCTTGGGTTCCATACTCCAATACTGAGATATGGTACAACCTACATCCACCAACCGCCACTGGAACGTAATGAATATAAATTTAATCAACGTGGAAAAAGAATTGAAAATTGTTGAACGAAATAAACTAAACAATAAATTTTAATTTTGAGATAATATCTTCTGCGTCCCTAGCTTGTTCTTCCCACGGTTAATGAGATTAAAATGCATATATAATACTGTTCCAATAAATGTAAAAACCTATCTGAGAATATCTCCTAAACTCTAGGTGTAGGGAAAGAATAGGCCTGTAAGATTTAAAAAATATAAGTGGTATTCTATGAGTAATTAAAATAAGTGAGATAATCAGTTTTAAAAAGTTTTCTGTTAATGTCAACATTTTCTGAACACCCTGAAATAAATAAATGAATTTTGCCTCATATTAATTAAAATAGACCTTCTTTTAAACGGAAACGAAAGGATTTTTTGTAATCTCCAAAACTGTGATCACAACAGTAGTAAAATTAATGATAACAATTTAATTTTTTTTTATCTTAAATATCTCCAATACTACAATCTTTAAAGTTATAATAGTACCTTTATGGAAAAATATTGAGAATTTTATAAAGAATTGAAATTTTCAAAAATAATTAGGGTATTCTATTTAAAAAAAATTGACCTCCATAGTACCACGCTTTCATAAATCACCCCCTCCTATATTTCAAACTAATTATGATGTGGATCTTTTGATTTCCTGCAACTTTCATATCGATCAAGTTTTTATGTTGCTGATAATAATAAAGGAGGCACTGGAAATTGTCACATCGTTGTAGACTTACTATTTACAGGGTTATTCATTATAAATTACCCACACATAACTAGTTTAACTAAGATATTCGACGTTTAATAACTCAAAAACGGTATATGGTAGGGGTGACATATGGTATATTTTTGAAATCAGGAACAAAGGATCATTCCAAAAATTGAATAATATACAGGGTATCCCATTTAAAAAATATATAATTTTTTGTATCCCCTGAAATCTGCACGCTACTGTACTTTTGATAGCATTTTAACAAAATTCAGTTACAACCACACACCTTTTATTTAAACCTTTTTTTTTCTATAGGCAATAACAACGATGATAAGAGGTGGGTAATTTATAATGAATAACCGTATAAATACAATTTGATGTATCCTCTCTCTGCCCAAGAAGTCAGAAAAGATTCTTTAATTTTCAGTGTTGCGAAAACTACTGTTTCACAAGGAAATTCTTATAAAGTGCACTTAGCTCATGAGTTGCCGGGAGACAACTTTGACAGAAGACTACAACCTTGCTTACAAATGTTGGATATTTTCTTCGACGAAGCAACTTTTCTACTATGGCACTATTAACAGACAGAATTCTTAGTATTGGACGGCAGAAAACCCATACTGCATGCTGCAGGCACACACACAAAATCCTCAGAAGATCAATGTGTGGACAGAAATAGTAGGTAATCGAATTATAGGACCCTATTTCTTCGACGAAACACCAACTGGAAATGCTATTTGAAATTTCTTCAGTTTCAACTTATCCCGCCTTAGTAATTTTTAACTAAACTTGGACCAAACTTTCCCAATAGATGGATTGGTAGGTGAAGACCTAGAGTGGCCTGCACGGTCTCCAGACCTAATCCCACTCAACATTTTCTTGTGGAGTTCTTTAAAGAATAACGTATACAAAGATTGGTCTAACAAAACACGTTCAGGATGAGAGGGTTCTATTAATTTTAATTTTAATTATTTCTTTTTTTCTTCTTACCTACAATTTGTAAACCACTACACGTAAAAAATGTACTTCAGATAATGCAAGTAAAAGTGCGTAAATTTAGGGACATACTGTAAACAAACAGTAGGAAACTTTTTGCTTTCGTATTAAACATTACATTAAAAGTATGATTGTTATTTCCTAAATACCCAGGACAATAATACCTCTTGAATAGTATACTGCAAAATACATCATTTACATCAATTATTTAGGTGTATAAAATACTCAATAATTTTCTCTGCAAACTGTATGTTTTAAAAGGTGTTTCGGGAATTTGTAGCAAAAATAAGCAGTAATTCATGTACTTATGTCATATCTTATGTGATAACTCCGTATGTAAATATTGTAACCGCCATTTGGTAATCGTACTATTATAATATTTTAGAGGTAACATAAAAATGTCGATTAAAAGATAACATTGAAATATAGGAATGCTTTGACAAATATTTAAACAATTTTGAACATACTGTTACGTGTTTGCTATCCCCACAAACACCTACACTCGTAGATTCGTTGATTGAAAGTCCAGGTAACACTTAATCACTACTTTATTTACTAATTAACAATTAACAACAATAGATTAATCACTTTCCTAATTATAATCACAACTGAACACTTATAAGTCTCTTTCGTATTTCTTCTTTACTCGTTCACGTTCGACTTCAGACTAAATCTCGGCCCACCGTGCGTCTTATTTATACATCCATTCTCCCGATCTAGAGCACTCCAGAATATTCCCGGCCGTTCGTGTACAATTCCAGCCTAATCTAACCAGTCTGCACAGTCCAGTGGCGTAACACTGCCCCCTCCTTAAGCCTGAACGTCCCGATCAGGCAATTCATTATTCCCTGCATACTTGGCTAGTCTCTCTATGTACACCACCTTCATCTTGGATTTTGGACTTTGCTGAAT